AATCATTTAGATCTGGCTTTATCATTTTCGTTTGTTATCATCTGTCACTTTAATTTCTTTTAGCAGAGATACGGTACTGGACTACAGAGGAGAGATGTGACACAAAGGAAAAGAAAGATATGCTTAGGTACAGAAAGATATCGATGTACTTAGATATGACAAACGAAAGAAAGGTATGGAAATGAAAAGACATCTTTCTTTTCCCTTCCGAAGGGAAAAGAAAGATGACATAAAACATAAAATTGCTGCTCTAACTCAAATTTACATGACTATCTACAGCTACGGCGTAATCATGGCTGTTCCTTCGTTTGGTGTGATCTTCATCATTTTGTCTGTTTTATAGAGATTTATTTCCGATTTATGCGTTTTTTCGCGCTCATGTTGTTAGCGTTGATAGTATTTTTTTTAAACTATTGGTAGCGATCCTGTAGAATACACATTCGCTCACATTGTACTTTAGTTACCCTATTTTCGCACTGGTTAGTTCCTTCAAAAAAATTTCAGTTTCCCCCCATACATGTACATTTTTATGGTCTAGTCCAGATCCAAACTTAATCTAGTTTTTCTTTTTAAACTATTTTCGTCTTACCAAATTCTTCAGAAACATAAAATATCAAAAATTGCAATACAAACTTCAGTGGGATTAAGGTGAGCGAAGTTGTACAGCATTTGAATACGTACAATGCTTACGGGGGTGTATCCTTATGATATATGTGCACACTTATACACTTAGCGTTTCTCTTTTATATCTCAAATACATGTACGACAGCGAGGAGCTTTACAAATTCAACAGCGACAGCTTTTTGTAAGATGCTGAAGTTTTTACAGAAATCTACCCGAGAACATGATGAGTATGCAGTGCGAAGACACACTTCTGTAAGTTCCTCAGCTCAGTGGTTTGTGTCTTGGTCTCATACTTCATACTCGCCAAGCGTCTCAGGTTCGATTCCTGGAGGAGCTGTTCTTTTTTTTCCTTCCAAAGTGGACGGTTTTACTTGCACAGTTTTATCTGGACAATTTTTCTAATAGTTTTAAAACCGTCAAAGCAAAACTACCATATATGAACCATTGGAAACAAAAGCATGAACAACTAAAACCGTGAAAAAAAATATGCCAAACTGACTGCGAGAAACCGCGTATAAAAACCGCCATGAGTTTCACGGTTTGTTTTTCTCCGTGTAGGCTACGCACTTCATTTACATCAGGTATGTGCATTATGATAAATGAGAAATAAATGAGAATTTGGAAGTACTAGAAAAAGGAATGAAGCAAGATCAGATTGGACGAATAACAATTTCTTCAATTTCAGATCTTTGAAACTTTGACATTTAGGAATTGTACTTTGACATACAAGGAATCTAACGTTCAACAAACATTTCAAGGAGAGTCATTTTCGTAGACGTGGCTTCAACGTCAAAGTTAACCTATAAAACTGAGAAGAGACAAAGAAAACAACTTTGTAAGCAAGATTTATTTCATAATTTATGACCGTTAGCAACACCAATATAGCAAATAAAGGGGTTCGCAAATTTCGCCAATAAGACTTTCGCCAATGGCGAAAGTGCTACAGTTTATTGGCGAAAGTTCAGTAGACGTTCGCCAATTGGTGAAAGTACAAGAACACTTCGGCTAAATTGACTAAAATCCAGTACTTTATTGGCGAATATCCAGACATTTATTGGCGATATTCCAGCATACTTTCATTGATTATCAAGAAAGGATGTCGATTTGAGATATGTGGAGACTGACACAGATCAAGCTCTAGTATCGATGACATGGCGAAAGTCTTATTGGCGAAGTTCCGGCAACCCCAAATAAATACATGATAGTAAAAGAATATTTTCACATAAAATTTGTTTTTGTGTCGAATATTTCACATTAATATTTTATTCTTCTAACCTAACGACGGCTTTTTCTTCAAATGCGTAAAGTGTAATTCGATTTTTTTCTAGTTTTTGCTTATTGGAAAGATGAAATTTTCAAGATCTGGAGCTCTCAGCAAGGTTAATCAACACTAACCTTTTTTCGGACAAGTTGAGCGATTTTATTCAAAACAAATATCTTATTCATCATCTACGCAAAAATCTACGTCGAATAATGATAAATCACTACATCACCACATTTATTATACCAGTAATAAATCGCCAGTGTGGTCTACGTGTAGTTTGAGTGCATTTAGGTGAATAAACCTTCCCTTCAATAACAGAAGGCCACCCGATCCTCTATTCTGCCCGGCAAGTCGAATTCTAAAGAGTGGTCTTCCGTTGCGGTCCAATTTTGCTACCTGCTGGTGGTCCAACAGTAACTCTCCCCCGCTCCACATACTTGAAATTCATCCCCTATAGAACATTTTGGCCAAATTTTTTTGAAAATTGCCCTATAGTAAGATATAGGGTATTTTGCGACTCTTTTTTGGCCGATATAACAGAAGATCAGTCGTCATAGTGGTCTCCTATTCTGGTGAGGGAGTGAGAAGACGATGGTCTTCTATTTGGCTTTAAAATCGTATAACCTGCAGTGGTCTTCTATTATGGGGGATTACAAGCTCAATTTTATTTTGAAATTTTGAGTAATTATTGATTACAATTATTTTGCAATGTATTTAAGACAACGAAAAACTGCCGAAAAAAAACGTCTAAGATAGTAGCAACGGCACCCTTTGGCCGTTAGATAAAATGTACTACTACATATTTTGGGAAAAAAATGCCGTAAAAACATTTTAGTAATGTACTACAAAAAATTTATATATGGAATACAAGTACTGAGCAGGTAAAAATGATACATGATGGGGTGGGGTCACACACTTTTCTGCTCTGGAAAAAATAATTTCCGTCTGGTCGGGGGAACATTTTTTATTGTGTTCTGTTGCAGAAAGCAAGAGCAAAAATATTTACTTACAAGAGACCTTTGCGTTTTGATTCTGCCAAGCCTTATTGCATCTAACTTGATTGGTAAGAAATAACAATCTGTCTCAACAACAACAATCAAAAGAAGAAATTAATTATGTAATCCAGCATTAGATTGTTTAATGATTGGGCTTGTTCTTCTTGTAAAAAAATCAATATATTTCGATTAAAACAAACCCAAACCTAGACTTATCATATATGAATCGAAAATTGTTTTCAAGACGCAACTGATCCAACCAAAACCAAAACGTTTTTCTAGGTTCCTACTGGGTAATAATGGTAAGGAAGACATTTTGAAAAAATCACTCATTGTAAATGGTGTTAGTGTGGAAACTATCATGTCTCTGAAAATCTCTAGAGTTGATGTTGACTGAAGCTAGTGAGAAAGTTTTCAATCAATTTCGATTTTTCACAAAAATTTGAGTCAAAACGGGACCCGTGTCTTACAATCGTACTGCATGCATTTTATTAGGAAATGATATTCTGAGATGTGAAAGACAGCATATAGCAGTTTTAAATCGCCTTTTTAATGTAATGTTTATTAATGTGGGCCGTCACAATCGTAGTTTAATATTAACAAAAAACAATTGTTGATTCAATCAAATTTCTTACTTGTCAAAAACGAAGACGATTTACCAACGAAAACCATAACAGTTCCATTTACTTGTATAAACTTGCACCGGTTTATCGGATTTTGTCGTAACAGATGAACGAAAGCGCCTTGTCCTAGTTAGAGCATCTTGAATGTCTTGAATGTGTTTGACTTCAGTGGCAAGATTAAGACCATTCTGTAGATTTTCTATGGCTAGATCATATTTTTTTTTTCGATATAAATAATACCCAAGACATAATAAATCAGTATGCCTTGTGTCGCTTTCGTTTCTGTGTTCTTCTTCTTCTTATCATTATCAAGATCAGCCTCAGTTATCTCGAAACAATGTAAGTATTTTTTAGCATAGCATGTGATTGTTTATTTATTGCGCCATTTTCGCTATTTAAAGGTTTAGGTTTTATATTTTCAATCCGTATGTTTAACACATGTGAGTGTGAAACAATGACATCATCTTTTTGATACGTAAGTAATAAACAATTCCAAAAAAGCTAAATCATAATCGCGTTTAAAAATAAAATAAAGTCTTGCAAGCTGATAATATTGTGCAGCAGACATTGAAGAATCAATATCTAGAATGAATTGTTCAGATAACTGATAATTGATTAAAGCAGCATCCTCATTTTTAATCAGAAGATATGTCCCACCGATAAAAAGTAATAAATTGTCAATATGTTTATAATCTAACGGATACATTTTTAACACAATTCGTAATGATAATAAAAAGTTTTTCTTGGCTGAATCATATTCACCTAAATTTTGATAACATCCTCCAATCGATTGATAAACGTATCTTTCCATTGAATAAAGACTTTGTTTTAACTTAGACACATAATGAGCAACACTTGGATTCGAATCAGGTATCAATTCAAGTACATAAGTGTAATGTTCAATGGCTGCAGAATACTTTTCCTTTTCACAATAATCATCTCCTTGTTTTTAGTGATAAAGTATTTTACCATAATCAGTTTTATCACCAGCAAATTCAAGTACTTTATTATAATTTTCCATGGCAGCATCTTCATTGTTGTTTTGCAAATAATACTCAGCGTGTTTTATGTAAAAATGCAATTCTGATTCATAAGCAATTATAGCATCATCTTCTTCTGGTAACTGGATACCTTTAGGATGATTTTCTACAATATTAAGGCGCGCGTAATTCAAAGTTTACTCAGGTTCTTATTTGGATTCGAAGCATACATATTCTGATAGAAGAAAGTGTGCTGATTCCGAATATCACCTTTTAGTTCATTTTGATCAAGTTTTGGGGTGGGAAACGTCGAAATACTGAGAAGGTCCAGAAAAACTGAAAATCCACAAGTTTCAAAACTTTCTGCTCCCATATTCTCCCATCTTATTTTGACTTCTTGAAACCACTTTTTTCGGATTCTACATCGAAAATTGGTTATAGGAAGCTATCTTTTAAAGTTTCCTGCACAGATCTGGTTATCAGCCCGGCATTTTAACAGGATGAGCCCCGTGTTCCGCCCGCTGATATTGCAAATGCTTCACACCCTCAGGCTTGATAGAAAAACACTTCATCTTTACACCAAAAAATTCCCCTTGAAATTTTGAACAAGGTTACGTGTGTACATTTTTGAATTTTTCCTCCAGCGAGGAGAAAAAAATTAAACACCATAAAACTGTCATTTGGGCCCAAAAACGGCCAAGTGATTTTTTCCTAAAACCTTAAGTTTTCGCTCAAATGGAGTCAAACTTACAGTATATACATAAAAAAATAAGGCGAATCCGATAATTATCATTTCAAGGTTTTCTAGTGGGTTCAAGTGTGATCTAAACATCGTTAGTCGTCTAAACATAGTTCAAGATAAGTTTGAATTTGTTATTTTTCTATGTGAAATAACATTTGCCTTTGCCAGAGAACTAAAGAACATGCAGAGTACTTGTTTGTAATCCTGTCCGTCATCGTAAGCATGCAACGTTTTCCAGAATCGACGTTGTAGTTTTCGGTCAAGCTTTTTTTCTTCGAAATATCGACGTGATTCATCTATCAACTCAATCATTTTTCCAAACGACTGTTCACTATGCTTTCTAACGTCTATAACAAACCAGAAAAAAAACTCCTTTAGACGACTGAACTAGGACCAACTGCCTACGGAAAAATTCGAAAAGTCTTACACGCTTTCATCGAACACCACAGGCCCTCAATCGCCGACATTTCACAGTGGTATTTCGGCAGAAATAAGATGTGTACATTATAACGGTTTCCTAACTTTTCTAATTTCGAGATCTAAAAACGTATAAAAAAAGACTTGACGCTCGAGAGCTTAGGATGTACTGAAAATAACCCACCGTTTTGAAAGCAGCATGTGAGGCTAATTTCTCTCGCAATAAATCGACTTTCATTTTATCATTAACATCTAGGCCAAGTTCCTTTCCAATCACGACCATTCCTTTGGCCTTTCCCTTATGTTCTC